CAGCTCCAGCTACATACAATTTAACAGTAAACAGTTTATCAGCAAACCATAAATAAGTGTTTCCAGATGTATGTTTTGCATAGTTTTAGTGCCTCCTTGTGACTGATCCATTAACATGTGACCATAGCTTACACCACACAGGATCAAGCTCTTATAATGTGGCACAGCCACAGACTCAGTAGGGTATAATGTTTAGGCGTCATTACACAATGCATGTTCAGTGCCAGATAAGAAATACATGTTCAATGTTGATGACTGAATGTCAAGTCTTTGGGGGAAATGAGCCATACAGCAAGCTTGCAGCTATTTTAATTAGGCATTGATACTATCTGTTAATCTAGTTTGCAAAAAGAAAAGATAAATAAAACCCTTCATCATAAAATCGGGATGGCTGATTTACTGTCACCCTGATAAAAAACACTACCTGTGTTTTTCTCCATGTCTTTCCCGTAAGTACAGCAGTAAAGAGAAGTGGTGCAATCCTCTGTCCTAGTGACTTCATGGTTAATAACTTTACTGCTTATAAACACCAAGTGCTCTTAGATTTCTCCCAAACTTCCACAGTTTAGTGTATGAATGCACGTGACTGTTCATGATTAAGGTTCAAATTTCTGTATCACCTCGGACCATGATTAAATGCATCCATGTACCAGAGTGCACTGTGTCACAGTGAGAACTGTGTCCTCATCAAAGGGCAACCCAAGAAATGCTGGCAGCACAAAAAACAATGACCAGCAGATGGCAGCTGAGAGCGTAGTGTGATGACCTAAATCTTTTATTACTTCCTCAGAGAGACTGTATTCATATAACTATGTGATGTACCAACTACTGAAGTTATAAAACTAAGTGAAACAAGTGTCTCATTTGCTCATTTGAATGTCAGAGTGGAAAAGCTAAAACCTGACATCTCTACGTTTACAGTTTCCATTTAGTGTTTTCTAATTGTACATAAAGTACTGTAAATAAACATGTCATGGTGAAAACCATATTGTACACTTTGAGATGGGTATGTGGGTCACAGATAAAGGCAATGACTTTATTATTAGTTGGGTGAAATTCTCTGTTGAATTACATTTTATTATAACATCACTCTGTGCAAAGACAAATCATAATCATATGTTTGCCATGTGCTGCTTTTCGTATTTATTATAAAAATATAAATTAAAGTAAAATGATTTACTGGCAACTTTCATTTCAGTATTATTATATATTCATATTCATTTTAAATTGCACACAGGAGGGTGTTTGTGTCCAGTGTGATTAATCAGTCTCATTTTCCCTCTATTGTGGATCGAGCATCCTGCCACTGAGATTGTCATCTCTGACCCTCGCTGACCTTTCAACCTCCACCTCTGCTCCTGCTGAGGGAGAGTTTTTTGCCATATAACCCCAACTCACACACACACACATACATACACACACACACACACACACACACACACACACATACAATCTGTCTGTTTGTGGAACACATATCTCACCAACCGTTCATCTAATCGACTTCACACTCAGCACGTTATGAAAATTGCTCGAGAAAGTGTGCCGCCAAATTTGGTGCGATTTGGATAGGATATAAGTTCAAAGGTCAGTGGAGGATGGGCAGTAACAATCTATTCTACGGACCGAAACTACAGCACTGGTCAGCAAGTGGGTCAAGTGACCGCGGTAAAGCACCTTTGATGAAAAACTTTGACTATAAAATCTTCATTGCAGGTAAACCAGGTAGGATGATGCTCACGTCACTCAGCACCATAGACTGGCACTGCACAAGCATATAGAACTCTGATGAACTCCACTTCAAAGTTTGAAGTGATGGCAGTCTGATGAAACTCTGGTCTTGTGGTTCTGGTAGGAAAAAAATCTTATTCAGACCGTGAAGTACTGATAACCAATGATTTGATAATTGAACAATGGGTGAATTATTTTACTGACCTCACAACCCTTTACCTCAGGAACCATTTTCACTTTCTGTTCAGCCCTAAATCCCCCCCTTTGTCTGGCTGTTCGGAATATCCCAATGTTACCAAACAACACCAGAAAATGAAATTAAAGAAAAAGAATTCAGGCAGATTACTTCAATGCACCCTTTATCAACTCAACCTGCGGTGACTATGTGAGAGTGAACCGCACAAAAGATGAGAGAAGTGCAAACACAACGAGACAGATTTACGAAAACTCTGATACCCTTTCATGTTGCAATATGCTCTGTTTGATCTCTCTCCCCTTCTTCCACTCTCTGTTTTTTTCCTCCAAAGTAAGCAAGCTACTGAATGTGCCCCTATGTGACTCATAAATCAAACTAGCGTGTCATCATTTTCTCACATCTCACAATGAAGCATTTCTGTCAACACTGTGTGCATTTCCTGTGTTGAGAGACCACAGCATGTACTCTTCAGTAACCCACACCTATTAAAGGGTAGAGAATAAGAGGAAGTTGAACATACCAGGTGCTGTGTGTTTATTATACATTACTGTTACAACACCATTATCAATCCGTGTTACATGCTGCCACATAAAGCAGATATAGATGCTCGATGTACAGCACACAGTGAGCAGGGAGGTGTTTTTTCTGTTGAGAAATTAGTGTCCCAAAGCAATTCATATTTAATATCCTGATCTCACCACTTACAAGAGGACATGAGTGGTGCAGAGGCCTCATAAATTTCAGCAGGAACAATCTCTGGGGAGATGCGGTGTCCTCAGTATTACCCTTGGAGAAGACATGTGAAAGGGTCAGATGTGGGTTTTTTGCCCTTTTGTCCATTAAAGGACATCGGTGTATGTGATTCATTGATTGATCTATGCCCTCAATCTCCACAATTAGCAGGACGAAAAGACTATTGTATGCACAGCACCAATGGCGTATCATCTAATGGTGTGTTCTCCCAGAATCTCCCAATCCCATTGTCCTTTTAGTGACATGTTAGTGAGGATACGAAACGTGCTGTTCTTAGAGAGCCCTTCCCACCGCCACCATTCTTGATACACATCACGCTGGAGCCTGTCTGAGCTGAGCAGTAAATCCTGAGCCAGTGAAGGGTCCACCAGTGTTTCCTCCATGTCTGGCAAAATAAACAATCTGCTGTAGGTCTGCTAGAAACAGGAGATCAGACAGAGGGCAGAGCGGAGGACTCCAGCATGTCGGGGGGAGGAGGGACGCAGGGGGGGAACACACTGATCAGATTTCAGGAGCCCAGAGAGAGAGAGAGAGAGGTAGAGCAGACTGGCTGTCTATAGAAACCCACATTTTATAAATGATAGTACAAAAAACACGAATGCAAATATTTCTTTGTCCATTTACACATCTTTTTGATAGAAACATTTGCATCAAATAAGGCTTTGTGCAATTTCTTTATCTGAATTGTAGTGCCAAAACCATGACCAGCCCCTTGACAGGGTGCAATTTGTGTATTGAAAAATGCAGGGATTCATGACATCAGAGCATTCCAGAGAGCCACTTGAGTTTCCATCAGAAGCTAAAGCTGCACACGTTGTTTGGGTTGAGGCTCTGGCCTCAGGGACTTCCTGCTATTTGAAGAGGATGGGGTGGGGATGAGTGTGGTGAAAAAAAACGGTGAGAAGATTTAAGAGCTCTGAGAAGTTTTCACAATTAGGCATTATACTCTAGATCTTTATGGGTCGATTTTATGATCATCAGTTGTACTGGACTTTTACAGACTCTTGGAGGCTGAGAGCTTTTCAAATGCCAAATTCCAAGAGCGATAAAAATGCAACACAGCTATGGGGTGATTGTTTTACGTCAAATAAACATTTGTATCTATTTGTACACCAACAGTGACCTAAAATAAGCTGCTGCCTTTAACCATTTCTGACCATGAAGAAAAAGGCGAAGATAACT